TTTTTTTTTTTTTTTTTTTTTTTTTTTTTTTTTTTTTTTTTTTACAATCGACCCTCCTCGAGGATCCGTGACTTTTGAACAACGACGCGTGGACATATTTTCCTTCTCCACGCTTTTATCTCAACATCCGGAGACGATAGAACGACGCGAGTACGACGAACGCCAGAAAGACGCATAAGCTTTCGGAGCACCATTTTTCTATTTTCTATCCCATTTCTTTCCGTTTCTGTTTTCCTTTTTTCTACTTTCTTTAGAATTTTTTCCTTTTCCTTTTCTTGCCCTCTGACCGGTTCCATCGTCGAGACCTTATCGATCACACAATGAAATTCTCAAAGTTCTTTGCGAATTAATCAATTGGGGAAATTTCGAGATATTCCACGAGATCTCGAAATATTCTCGAGATCTCGACGTGTTCGCAAGATTTCGAAATATTCGTAACGTTTCAAAGTATTTTTCACACGTGTCCCAAAAATTTCGAGATATTTCCACGAGATCTCAAAATATTCTCGAGATCTCGACGCGTTCGCAAGATTTCGAAATATTCGCAAAATATTCTCTAAAGTGTTCACGAGGTCTCGACGTAATCGCGAGATCGATCGAGGCAACGGGGGATCCCAACGCATTGGTTCTTCCCTAGATGGAACTCGTTCGAAATATCCATCCATTGCCTCGAGACGACCACCAGCAGAGGAGTGAATTGCGAAAACGAGACGCGTCCATTCGTTCGCGCTACCGTTGTTCCCTGATGTCTACGGGCGAGCCGATGATCGCGCCTCGATAATTCATCTACGTGTCCTATCGCGAACACGTAATATCTAAGATCAGCAAGGTCGCGCTAGAGTGTTCTCCGGGCACATCACGCGACGCTTTCGACGTACTGGGTGTTAGTCAAGTCATGTTGTGGAACGAGCGTGATGGACATTGTTTCATGACCGAAGGATAACTCGAATGCGGTAATGAAAGACCACAATGTGTGTATATATTTGATAATACAAGAGGAATGTAACGATTTAAGTTTAAGAACCATTAAGATTGCAATCATGGAAGCTTGTAAAGATCAATTTTCTTTTTTCTTTTTCCGGATTTTAATTTAATTCCAAGAATAATCGAAATTAATACATCGATCGTTTAATTAAAAAAAAAAAAAAATATTCTCATTAAACGAACATTTGTTGAATTTTTGAACACCTTTAACAATGTGAAGCATTAAAGCTATCGAACAATTTTATTTTTTTAAACTATTATATATTGAATCGCGTTGAAAGTAAATGCCACTCACAAATTTCACAATTATTTAAAGTGTCGAAGAAAATTCCATCATCGATATTTATATATGCACTCCTCCTTAAGATGTCTCACGTTTCTTGCATATCGTTTTTTTCTTCATTTCTCAAGATATATCGAAGTATTCTATACATTGTACGTTTTTCGAATAAAATTAGTTAAGACACGTATGCGAATTAAAACTTTTTTCCTTTAATAAAGATGGCACATAAAAAAGAAAAATGATAAAACGTTTAAAACATTTTAATTTAAACGAGAGAGAAAAATTTTATTCGTATCGTATTTTTCATAATTGAAAGTAAATTATACTTTTACATCACGAAATTTGTGAAATGTTAATCAAGCAGTGATTATGGGGCGAAGATTATTCCCCATGCTCGTTCGAATATACGTTGACGTACACCGTACGTGACACGGCTCGTGTGCTTTTCACGTCTCGAGAAACGTTCCCGCGTAAAAGGGAACCTTGTCAACTTCTTTCGAAACGAATCGGAACACGTACGGTTAGATAAATCCTTTAAACAAATCGTTTTTTGTTTCAGTGATCTTTTCTTTCGTTTACGTTACATACGTGTTCCGACAATGGTTCTTGCGTGATCTTAGATCGTTAGAATTTTTACGTTTCTCTTCGCATTTAGATTTCTTGGCCGAGAATTTTCTAGAGAAAATTATCTTCCTTTTTATCATCCTTCCAAAGGGGGAAAAAAACGAATTTACGGCAACAAATCGACGCAACGTTACGTATTACATTTCGTAAAACGAAAGCGAACATTCGAATGAAGCTATATCTTTTTCTGTTAAACAAAAATATAATTCTCGGTTTCGCGAACGAAGCTGCGTCTCGTTTTAGGATTCGTTCGAGCGAGATTCCTCGAAAAAATGGGGGCGACCGAGGCAAAACTAGCTACGCGCATTATTTCTCTCTTAACAACGTCACGTTATCTCGTCTCTAAAAAATCACTAGCGGTTTAAACTCGATAAATCAAGCGATCTGGACGTCAGTGCTTGGGTGTACGTGCTGGAA